TTACTTAGTATATATATATATATATATATATATATATATATATATATATTCATGTCTACTTCTCTCCTTCCTCTTCTACATAAGCTTAGTGTCTGTTCTACCTCACTCTCATATATCTGTAATATATACACAGATAATGTACAGACATATAGAGCTTTAATGCCGGTTCCAAACAGCAAACTTTTTGAGGAAGTTTCTATGGATAAGAATATTCTTATGCGATAAGGATACTCTCATACTGACGATTTGTCTGACCTAGAGAAAATACGAGCATATGAAAATATTTTGATTCTGTTGAGAATCGGACTCGGAATCTCTATCACAGTAGATCAATACTGTCCACTATCTGTCCACACTCGCTCTCATATATTCATGTATTTTTTTAATAATTATATATATTAAGAATAGTAGTATTTTATAATAATAACCATTAGCAGTAAATAAAATATAGGATATCATCAAAAACTTCTATCTTTCTTCTTCTTCTGATCTTAAACTAATTTCAATTCTGGAATCAACTGTCTTACGTTACAAGATATCTATAAAGTAAGAAAAAGTAATAAACATGAATATCAATACACATCAATTTCAAATCCAAAGCTACAAATCTTAGACAGCATTGTTTTATGTATATAAACATCTCCAAAAAGATATTTCTATCATGATGTAATATTACATAAATCTCTCTAAAATTAATAAAGAAAATTTATATTTGTAATTTAATAAAAAAATTAATAAAGAATATAATTTTGATATAATAAATTTATGTTTTGTGTGCTTAAACTATGTAACCTTTATAGTTCTTTCATTAAAAACAAAATTTTGAAATCATTCAAATTTAAAATATGATATATATCTCAAGCTATATTTGTATTTAGTAAAAATAAAAATAAAAAGTATTTGACAATATTTATAAATATATTAAAAATTAAAACTTTCATCTGCATTAAACATTTGAAAATTTTTAAATTTTTTGTGGCTTTTCAATATTTGGTTTCCATTAATATTCTAATAAAAGCATTTACAAGTGTACATTTTTTATATTTCTAACTAGTTTAGCAAATCTAAAAATTAATGTAACAATAATTTATTTCTTGAGTAATGCTAACAAGTTACTCTTTAAGGTCAGTAACAAATAATACGTTACTTTTTAAAAAGTAACTTCCCTAATTTTGAATTTTTTTCTAGAAAAAATGAATATTTTTTATTGCTTATGTGTTACAAATGTTACCTGTTTAGTAGGATACTCTTGCATATGTATCCTAAATTTGTCAATCACATTGCAGTTACTTGCCAATAATGCTGTATGTCGAACCACAATATCAACGCAAGAACTAGCTTTTATTACACCTTCTGGATCAACCACCTGATATTTGTATGGTGCAGTACATAGAACTAAAACATCAGAATTTTATCAAATAAAAATCAAAGATTTGTTTTTCTTATTGAAAGAAGATGAGTGTTTGTGATATTTACCTCTAAATTTTACAGGAAATTCATATGGGTTATACAAAGTTAACACTTGCTTGTGAGTGGACTGATCGTCTAAATAAAACGTAATGCTTTGTGGAAACACAAAGATTGGTAACTTCCGTGGTGTTGATATCATCGATGTCATTGTGTTTTCTTGATTTTAAGCTACCCATACACCTGCAAAATGCAATATTATTATTTTTATGCATATAATCATCTGTCACTTACTATATTATTTATCATCCTGCATCTCTTTTCAAGTCACATATGTTATTATCTGAATCGCTGAATTTATCCTCGATTTACAATAGATATAATAATCTTCATGCTTTAAGCTATTTTCGGCAAAAAGCATTTCTTAAGTTGCTTTAGATCACAATTCCTGATCCTTAAAAGATGGTCAGATCCTAACTATAAAATTTAGAATTTAACAACGTAGAAAACATCTTTTGTCGAAAATTATTTACTTTACGACATAAGGCTCAAAGCTTATTGTATCAATTTGTATACCAAAAGTTAAGAAATTTCAAAGTTTTATAACCTAGTGTACATAAGAATTACGTCACAAAAGAAATGGCAGAATCATATGAAAAAACATACTCAATTTCCGTGATCATAAAATCAATGAAAATTTATAATAAATCTTTGAATTTTCGCGACCCCTCCTTTGAACAGCGTAACGACATCGGCTGACTTAGCTGTGCTTGGCTGATTGTCAAATTGAGGAGGTTTATGCTCTGCGCACCAGTGTTGCTATTAGAACCGCTTTCTCGCGCATGCGTATTATGACCAATAGTCATATCTAGGGCTGTAACATAGGGTGCGTTCCTTTATTTACTCCGAATACTATCAGTACTACGAATAGCGTTTCGATATAGAGAGTAGTGCACTCCGAAAGTACTGCCTTGACTTGTATGACGTCATTGATTTGACGTATTTCCTGTTGCGGCTACTGCAATCAGCGAGGTAAAGCAGTTAGAATACAAAGATGACTGCTTCCATGGAGACTGAAATAACCTTGATTGATGCTAAAGAAAACAAAGCGTATAATATGAAATAATATAATATAATGAAATTATTATATTATATAATATCATAATAATTATGAAATTATTTATTATTAATAGTTATTTTTTTATTGTTATTATTAATATTAATATTATTAATTAATAACTATTATTTAAAAAGTAGAATATCAATATTACAATTAATATTGCATATTTATGATTACTTACATATTTATGATTGTAGATGTAATATTCTATCATTCTAAGCAAAAGTTGGATTAACGTCGCCGTATAAACGTAGTAATTGATAAGGTTATAAACTTACAATAAAATATAGTAAAGTGAAAAATAGTAGAAGAGAAGAAATAAAAAAAAATAAAGCCTATTCAATGTTAGAATATTTATATATAATTACTTTCCACACAGCACCGAAAAATTTTGGAAAGCTTTCAGAAAACTCAATGAAATATGAAACCTTTCAAAAAAATATTTAGACATATTTCAGACATATTTCAGATACATAATATGTCTGCTTTGTAATTTCAGAAATATTTCTGAAATATTTTGATAATAAATTTTTGATATCAGAAATATTTTAGTTATAACTTCCTCACATAGTGCCGAAGTGTTAGAAAGTTTGCAGAAATCGTTCAATGAAAATTGAAACCTTTCAAAAAAATATTTCATGTTTCACATTTATGTTATGTCCGCTTTTTGAAAGCTTTCTGAATGTTTTCTGAAATCTTTTGTGTTTATATGTCTTTTGTGAGTATTATTTCTGTTAAGTTTCTTTAAAATATACAGGGTGATTGGAAACAATTCTGGATCTTTGAAAAGACATGATTTTGATTATATAATTATGTCTTTATAATATTCTAAGATAATTTTTCCTCTTACAAAATTTTGTCCGGAGTTTAGTTTTTGAATTACAAAAGAAATAATCTTGTTATCACAAGACGAATACAAGAGATAAACAGTAGCAATGTAACTTTTCTTCAGACATATATCGTTAAAATACGAAGCGATTGTCAACTGTTACGTCTGACGATGAGTTGTGCGGTCACTGCTTATCTCATGTATCCATCCTGTGATAAGAAAACTATTTCTTGTTATAATTCAAAAATTAGCTTTTGAATAAAGTCTTGTAAAAAAAAAATGTCATCTAAAAATCTAATCAGAATTATATCTTTTTAAAGACCCAGGGATGTTTCCAATTCCATCGTCCTGTATATTTCACACAAACGTAATCTTAAAATAATATACTTATGTAGCATAGAAAGTTTCAGAAGGCTTTCAGAAAGCTTTTAAAAATACTTAAATTTATCTAAAAGCTTTTTGAAAGTTTCTAATTATGCTAAATGGATAAATATGCACAGAGACATACGAGTACACGATGTCCAATAAGAGAATAGCTTTTCAATGGAGAATTGAATTCTTTATTAAAAAGCTGTTCTTAACAATTACATCAATATAATGTCTCTGAAATTTTTGTTATACAGCACAAAAAGTTTCAAAAAGTTTTCAGATATCTTTTAAAAATATTTTAACCTTTTGAAAGTTTTCTGAAACCTTTTATTGTGTATGGTATTTTATATTTTATTTTAGAGATCAAATAAAAAATATTTCTATTAAATGTAACATGTTAGGGACATTACAATATTAGTTGTCACATATTTCAATATAATATTTTTGAAATTTTTTAATGATATATGTTTTAAACATTACGTACGAAATATTTCTATAAAACGTTTCAAAATATTTCTGAAATATTTCAATAATAAAAGTAAAAAATAATTTCAACAAAATATTAGGTGTACAAAAAAGTTCTGAGTTTTTTTTTGTAAAATTCAATCTTTATTCAAAAACAAACAAAAAAATATTAATCAGCGAAATATTCCCTGTTTGTATCAACGACCTTTTGCCATCTTTCGGGTAGCTTGCGAATTCCTTGACGATAGAAGCTCACCGGCTTCGAAGTGATAAAGTCATCAATGCATTTTCGTATCTCTTCAAATCTCACGAAATGTGTGTATCAGCCAAATGATGCTGCAGCGACCGGAATAGGTAGTAATCGGAAGGCGCCATGTCTGGGCTATACGCCGCATGTGAGAGAAGTTCCCAGCCTAACGCAAAGATAGGTCCTGAGTCGTTTTCGCAATATGTAGTCGAGCATTGTCATGAAGCAAGATCACTTTACGACATCCTTGGCCAGTAAATAGCCTCTTTTCTTCTAATGCATCGCTCAAATTGGTCAATTGTTGTCGGTAGCGGTCTGCCGTGATTGTTTCACCCGGTTATAACAACTCGTAATACAACACACTTTTCCAATCCCACCAGGTACAGAGCAAAACCTTCTTGGCGTGGATATTGGGCTTTGGCGTCGATGTCGAAGGTTAATCAGGGTCAACCCATTTTCTACGTTTAGGGTTATCATAAAGAATCCACTTTTCATCGCCTGTAATGATTTTGTGCAGAAAATCTTTTTTCCGGAACTTTGAAAGCAAAGTGAGTGCAGTGTCACGCCGACAATTTTTGTTGTCTTCGGACAATTCATGCGGAACCCATCTGCCTTCCTTCTGAACCTTTCCTATCGTATGTAAACGTACGGAAATGGTTTGCTGCGTAACGCCAAGCTGTTCTGCAAGCTCCTTTTCAGTTTGCGCAGAGATTATATCCAGCAGTGCTTGCAATTCGTCCGTTTCAATCTTTTGAGAGCATTCAGCACGCGGTTCATCTTCAAGACTGAAATCTCCTTGGCGAAATTTTTGATACCATCTTTTATATGTAATATGACTTATAGCGTTCTCTCCATATGCAGTACAAATCATTGCAGTGGCTTCAGCAGCATTTTTCTTCAAATGAAACGCGAAGTGGATGGAAAATCGAATATGCTCTTTTGTTATTGCCATCGTGAACACTACTGATTTTTGAGATTATGTACATCAAACGCCAAATCGTATGGCATTTTAGAAGGCCAAATCTCAACGCTTTAAAACCGCAAAAGGGCGGGAAGATATATAAATTTAAATTGTTATTTCGGTTGTATGAAATCTAAAGCTCAGAACTTTTTTGTACACCTAATATTTCCCAAACATTTCTGAAATATTTCTATGTTACATTTCAATATTAACTTCTGATTTTATCTTTCCGAAAGATTTTTGAGAGATGTTGTGCTGTATGCATTCACTTGTTTATAATTTAAGTAATATGTGAAAAGATATTGATAAATTACATGTGAAACTGATATTAATTACATTTACAATTATTATTATTATTATTATCATTAAATTATTAATAAATAAATGTAATTAATAATAATTAATAATAATAATAACAATAATGTAATTGTAATAATATATATAGTATTATAATACATATATTACTACTGCTGCTGCTGCTGCTGCTGCTATTATTATTATTATTATTATTCCTATTATTGATATCAATTACAATTATTACAATCATTATATCTTACATATCATTTGTAAGTAGAATCTAATCTATAGCTATTTATTTATTTATTTTAATATCCTTAGGCAATATTGATAATAAATTGTTTTTAATTAAAATATTTTATTGTAATATTGCATTTGTTGCGTGTTCTTCTTAATATTCGATATATGTTTAAACTAAGTTTATGATGTTTATATATTCAAATTATAAAATTATACTATACTTCCGTACTACTATTCGGAGCTGCTTCGGAACGTTGCTATTGATCGCTATGTCTAGTTATGTTGTCATTATGGCTTATTGAGGAATTCGATATCCCTCGATATCTTAACGACAAAATTCGGTACTTTATCAATACTTTTAATGATATTTATCGTTACGTTAAATTACAGAATACCATTTTTTATATCATTAAAACTGCGTAACAATATCCCTAGCTAGTGAAACTATCGTTAAGAAGTTATAAAATAGGCCTAAATCATTATCCTTATTTTATTATTTGAAAAAGAATGATTAGTTACTTCTTCCGTTACTGTCTTAATATTAAAACAAGAGTAACTTAAAACAAAATAAATTTTTCTGATATTTTTTATTAAACTATCAGTGTAAAAATAATAAAATTTTTATCTTAAATTCGCAAAACTAACAAAATTTAAGATTTTAAAATACTCAAAATGCAAATACAAATCATAGTAGTTTTCATTAAATTCATAAACACAGCAAATTAACACTTTTTTTAATTAATTTTCTGTTTACAAATATTTTAGAAGTATTTATAAAATATATGTTCTTGTATTTCTTTGATTTATGATAAATTATTCTTAAAACTACTTTTAAGATGAGTTTTAAATATAACAGAATATAATCGAAAAAAATTCACTTATATAGAAATTATATAGAAATTATGTCATAAATAGATTCGAAATATAAAAACAATGAAAGTTGCACCTTTCCCGACGTCGCGGATTAACTCGCCGGTGCCAAGATTCGGGAGAAGGAGTAGATTCGAGCTTACTAACAACACAGCAATTAATCAAAATATAATATTTATTGCAAGACTAATCATATATATATATAGAAGATAGGTGGGTGCGTGCGTGTGTATTCAGGCGCAGTGTACGGTTCCGCACGAGAATATTTTACAATGGTAGGCGAAAATACAAAGCTTGCAAAGCGGAGCAACGGTGTCTACAGAGATTGCAGAAGCAGAGTAGCGGTAGCGAGTGATACAGAGCTCGCAGGAGCAGAGTGATGGTATTTTACAGAGTAGCGGTAACGATAGATACGGAGCTAGCAGAAGCGGAGTAACGGCGCTTACAGAGGCCGCAGAAGCGGGAAACGATAATTACACAGATCGCGGAAACGGAGTAGCGGTAGCGAAACTTACAAGCTAACTATATATAATATATAATGTACAAGCTAACTATATATAATGTACAAGCTCAAGGGAGGGCAGTTGCGCGCGCGTGCGCAAGCACGCTACCGACGTCGGGAATTCCTAGCTTCGGAGAGGTAGTACCCTTCTCCGCGGTAGTATCAGGAAGTCGGGAAGACCAACGTCGGTGACGCCCTGGCTTCGGAGAGGTAACACCCTTCTCTGTGATCTAGGCAGAAAATCAGGAAGACCAACGCCGATGACACCCTGGCTTCGGAGAGGTAACATCCTTCTCCGTGGTCTAGGCAGGAAGTCAGGAAGACAAGGAAATCTCGATCGAGGTTCGGGAACACCCTGAATAGTCTCAAGATGGGAACTGATGCCGACTCGTCCGACTCGCGAGCCAGCTTATATACCGCTCCGGTTGCCCCTACTTTTTCAATTTTCTTGATGAGGGAGTTCCCCACGGTGGGAATTACACGGGTAGTGGCGCTCGAAGAGCGCCGAGCTGGTAGTCAGTCCTATGACGGCATGCGTGCCGTTACAAAGTAACTGTTAAATTCGTTATTGTTATTGAAAAAAATGTAACTACGTTATCGTTATAGTTACTAAAAAAAAGAAATAATGCCGTTACCACTTCATTATTAAAAAAAAGGTAACTGTAACGTTACAAGTAACACGTTACTTCTCGACTCTACTCATCACATATATAAAACCATCTATAATTGCATGTTCCGCTTCACATAAATATTTTAAAATATTTTTATAACTAAAAATTAGCAATATTTTTTTATAAAATTATTTAAAATATAATTGTATTAAACATAAATCATGTAAATCCAATAATCACATGTTTAGGCTATGTTCGGAATATCAACCGACCGGCTCTGTATATCATTTTATCCTTGTTGCTTATCAAATGTTAAACAAAGGTAAAATGGTACACGAGAGCACAGATAATGTTTAGATAAAATCTATAAATTTTAATTAATGCCATTTTTTTTTGCTCGTACAGCGTATTTGGTTATGTATAGAAATCAGACCGCAACGCTTTTTTCCCTGAGATTTTATCCTACGCGCTTAAAAAAATAATTTCATTCTATTATTCTTATATCCATGCAGAATATAGGTGAATTATAAACAGTCATATGTAAAAGATGAAATAAAATAAATAAAAACAAAAAAAACAGCAATTCATACAATAAGTGTACCTATCAATAAAAACACGGAAAAAAGAAAAGATAGCTGCTATATTATGAAAATAGCTATATTATGTTGTAATATATGGATAGCTAATATTTAGTTATGATATCTATATTATTTGCTACTATATTTATGTATCAGGAGCAACAGCAAATCGTTTTGTTCTAGACAAAGATATTAGTTATCCATATATTACAACATATATAGCTATTTCATAATATAGCAGCTATTTTCTTTTTTTTTCTTTCTATTTTCTTTTTTTTTCTTTTACCACATGCAGCTATATATGTTTCTTTTTTGTAATCAGTTTTAAATCTTTTATTAGCATAATGCACAAATATCTTTTCCTACGATGCGCCAATCTATAATGTTTAATTTAATAAAAATTCGTATGTTAAAGGATTAATGTATCTAATCATATTTACGAAAACAGTTCAATGCAGTAAGAAAAGTTCCAAAGAATAACAAT